GAGTAAGGAGGCGGAACGTCACCACTGGCCTGACTTCTTATAAATGACCTGGCTGACTGTTAAGTTAATGATCCGCTGTCCATGCACTGCGTTGCCTCTCAGACCTAAACAAACCTCCCAACTGAACTACACGTTCTGGTTTCTTGGTTATTTTATAGATGTGTGTGTGTGTGTGTGTGTGTGTGTGTGTGTGTGTGTGTACTGCTAGCAGAGACCTGTGGGAAAACCCTGACAGAACCCAGCCCTGTGTTTTATACGGCAGGAGGAGGGACCCCGTAAACACAAACAGAGCAGAGCGCTTCCTCTGGCTGACAACCTTATGATTTCCCCTTAACGCGCTGTTTAGAATCGCGATGGCGTGTCATTTCCCATTATCCTCTACACAAGACCAACACCACACGGCCGTGGCTTTCCTCTCCAACAACCCATCAGGAAGAACATACAAGACCCTCACGTGCTGCTGAAACCTGTCAAGACGGACAGCCCAGAGCCCAAGAGCCCTGTTTCTGCACAGAACAGGTGTGTGGCCAGGCGGCTGGGGCGAAACCTCCCCTCCAGCTTCCCAGCCCTTCTCAGCTTCCCGCCCCTGCAGGCCTCCCTCTGGGTGGGGAGGGAGAGCGGCCTTGGGAGAACCTTTCTCAGGCGGCTTCCTTCTGCCAGGGAAGACTGGCTCGCGCTCAAGACTGCAAGCATTTGACAACTGCAAATAGCAGCGAGCATGTCAACTCGTTTGATTCACAGCCCTCACCGGGGAATCAGAAAGCCAAGGACACAGTGGTGAGTTCCCTGGTTTTATGGGTCTCCGCTCCCCCCAGGCCTGCAGCTCGCCAGTGTCCTGGCATCCGCAGTGTGGGAAACCTCCACTGAGAGCCAACAGCCCCACAGCTTCACCCCATTAAAATGTGCAGTTGGATCTCACATGCGTGTTGCAAACACCATTCGAGGCGTGATTTACAGGCTTCTGTCTAGCTAGCCCCACAGCTGTTTTCTCACCCCCACACTTAGCCGCTGACAGGGATCCACCACTGTCTCCCCAGTACAGAGCCTTCTCACCTTCGACCTCCTCCATCCCTCCTGAGCATCCAGAACTATGCAGACTGATAGCAAGCATTCGAGAAAACATTTACTGAATAAACTATAAAGTTCTCTTTCCACGGAATTACTCATTGGCGAGAAGAGCCGATTCGATGCCTTCTTTCTGTTTTCCCCACCCTCTAATCAAGGTGTTTTTTGTGTGTTTTTTTTTTCTTTCATCAAATTACATATATCACTTCTGACCCATTGGTATTGGCTACTTACATGTTAAAACCAGCACAGGCCTCACTACATAGATGCCACCCAGGGCTTTCACACTCACTATATTCTTTCTTTTAAAGAAAAAAGAACCCCACCACTTCTATTTATTGCAAATTACCCTCCTGTGGCTGAGTCAAGACAGACTCTCTGTGCTACACAGAGAGTTACTCAGTATCGTGCCATCATGACTCTGTGACCACCCTCCCCAAGTCCCAACCTAGTCTAGCTTCCAAGAACCTGAAATCACCCACAAAAAGGGTAAGTCTCTGGCTTAGGGTTGTGATAAGTTCAGATGTAGGTACTGATACTACCTTCTAAATATCTGGCTTTTAATCTGTTGCAGGAATAGAATGGTACTGGTACTCTAGTCATTTCTTTCTCTCTTTTTTAAAAATATTCTTTTTTTATTGACTTCAGATAAAGGAAGGGAGAGAGAGATAGAAACATCAATGATGAGGGAGAATCATTGATTGGCTGCCCCCTGCACCCCTCCCCCCCGCACTGGGGATCAAGCCTGCAACCTGGGCATGTGCCCTGACCGGGAACTGAACCGTGACCTCCTCATAGGTCGATGCTCAACCACTGAGCCAGGCCAGCCCAGCCTTCTATTCCTTTCCGATTCTTCTGTGCACAGTGCAGCTATCAGTGTAGAGTACAGACTCAGGAAGTTGCCTGAACTTAACTCTTCTTAGTCCACCCCATGCAGTGAGTGGTCTGTGGGACTCCCGTGTCCTGTGAGGAGACCCACCCTGCAAGTGAGAAGGACAAAGGAAGATCTGACATTGAGAGAAGTGTCCCAGGTAAAGTCTTTGCTGGAAATGGTGTTTGGATGGATCAGTTTCACCCTAATGGCTCCACAGGTGTAGTTTCCATTTCAGATGAAAACGACGCATTAAAAATGTTAGTACATGAAACTGTATTTTGCCCTTTGTTGCAACATACTAGTCTTTTCCAATGCACAGAACCTCAAGGTGCAAAGGGGGCATTTTCTGTACCCTTTCACATGCCCTCGCCCCTGCCCCTGGCATTGAGACTGTAAGTTTTCCCTGGAAAACAACAACACGGGCTTTCTCCTGCATTTTAAACTACTACACAACAGTGGAGGAGGGAGCATGCTCACTCCATTGCAAGCCACAATCATCAGAACTATTTTTTCCCAAATTTAAAGAGTTAAAATTTAAATTTATAGCATTAAAAACGAGCAAGAGTATATCTTAAAATCATACTGTTAATTAACAAACCTGCTTGGTTAAAGAGAAGTCCTCTACGACAGGAATACCAGGAAGAAGCTACTGGGCGGAACACAGTGTTTAATGGTCTGCAAAGGAAAGGCTCCCAGGTTCTACAACTCAAGAAAGGCAGCTGTTACCTCTCCTCGCCCTCCTACAGCGGTCTTCTTGTAGACCTCAGGAATAAAGACCACTCATTGACCCCCTTGATGATCTGGTAATGAGACCATGTGGACATGTTGGGTGGTCAGATCTTCAGGTTACCCAAAGAGTCAACATTTTTAAACCCTTACGTTAAAAATAACCCCAAATTCATGCTTCTGACAAAAGGTCCCAAAGGCCAGAATTTCAATCAAAGGATGAGAATCACAGGAACAAAACGACCACTTATTAAATACAAACCACGCATCAGATGTTGTATCAGGCATCTCACCTCATTCTCATTAGTGCACCTTTTCTCATTAATCTCTCAAGGTCAACAGTTCTCTCTACCCAATTTCATATGGGAGTACAGAACGCTAAGATGGCCCAGGAAAACACAACTGGCATTGAGAGAAGCAAGATTCAAAGCCAAGCCTTTGTTCCCAAGACCCCATGAACTTTCTAGTCCACCAAGCTCCTCCCAAGAACGTCACAGCAGACCCTGGGAAACAGCCTGTTCCCCGACCTGGTACTCAAGCGGGTGGGAGATAACTGGGTACTGGAGATGCTGTGGAAGGAATCTGGGCTTTAGAGGGACCTGGAAGAGAGCAGCTCTAAGGTCTCCTGCCCTTCTCAGACATCCTCCTCTCCTAAGTACCTGATTCTCACTGACCCGAGGGGAGCTGAGTGAGTCATCAAGACACTTCAATTTCCTGCTGTGACCAAAACAACAATCAATCCCTTTGCTCCCTTCTTCCTTCCCTCCCTGCCTCCCCTACAGCTTTGGTTACATTGCCAGTGAGGAGACGCCCTCCATGGCCTCCTGTATTTCTTCTGAGCCTCCAAAACTGGGCAGTTTAAACCCTCCTCCCAAATGATGCTTTCTCAACACCCTTCAGCTACATGAAAATCACTGCCTTACCCCTAAAGCAGCTTGTGATCCAATCAGACATATTCGCCCCACCCATTCACCCTTTCCATCCCTACCCTGAATGCTGTGTCATTAGCTTACATATCTCATATCCCAAACACTTCAAAATACACATGTATTGTTTTAGATCAAGACAGAATATATATAAATAAGTAAACAAAGAAATACATCTGTCTCGTATCCCAACCTCTTTCTTGCTCCCAAACAGTGAAAGAACCAACACTAACCCATCCCTCACATGGTGCTCTTTCCGCAAGCAAAGCTCACACATGTCAGCACCAACACACACTCCCTGAGTTCCCAACACCTTCCAACTCCAATTTCATTTGTTTTTTAGTTGTTGTTTTTTTGTTAATATTGAGGATATTTTTTCCATTGATTCTTAGAGAGAGCAAAGGAGAGGGAGGGAGAAGGAGAGAAACATCGATGTGAGAGAGACACATAGATTGGTTGCCTCAGGCATGCAACTTGACCAGGGCCAGGGATTGAGCCTGTAACACAGGCACATGCCTTTGATCAGAATCGAACCCGGGACCCTTCGGTCAATAGGCCAGATGTTCTAACCACCGAAGAACCAGCCGGGGCCCAACTCCAACTTCTACAGTTTCAACCCTTTCACGTTTCTTCCTTCACTTGAACCTCTATGTTTTTGCCTAAGAATTCCTTCTAGAAAGAAGGATTGGCAATGACCCCCAGCCCACCTCCACCCGCAGGGGTCGGCTCCGGCTGGGCAGCCCACGTTACCATTGGAGTCTTCCACTTCTTCAGCCGAGGTGGCTTTCTGGGCGGAGTGGTGGTTGTGTGAGGAGAGCAGGCTGACGATCCGCGGCCTGGGCAGCGTCAGGGCTTTCCCGTGGACCTTGAGGGAGTGTTCCTTTAACTGGCTGATTGTCATGGTGGAGAATGAGCACCAAGAACACTTGTAGGCATGTTCACCTGGGAGATGGGGCAAGGGATAAAGGGGCAAGGAGGGCACAGGTGGGGTGGAGACCAGAACATGGTTAATCACTCGATGGAGGAGCGTCCCGAGCTTCGGGGTCTAAGACCTGCACAGACCAACCCCCGCTCACCCCCCAGCCACTGCTCTCCTCCCGACTGAACCCCTCGAGGAGCTCCGTATTCATGTGACCTGGCTCCTTTCCATTTTACGCTCTAATTGCGTGGAGGGGCCCATGGGCTGTTCCTCCACAGGGAGCCAAACCGAACGTCTACGATGCCCCCACCAGAAACGCTTCCCGGTCTAGGCTGCCCTTCTATCATCATCAGGAAATAACACGCTCAATTCTCCTTCCAGGGCCTATGGGTGGCTTTCCATCACCCGTCCCTCCGTGTGAGTCCGCTGTGCTGGTTTCATTTACCACTTCCTCGCTGACTCCACACCTCCCGACTCCACTCATCCTACAGTGGGCTTTTTTTTTTTCTGGACCAGTTCACAAACCTCAGCATAAAACCCCATTTCCCTCTGTAATCAATAACACAGAAATGGGTAAAAATAAGTCATTTTTTTAAAACTGAAAGAGATATGGGTCTACATATGAATATATGTCTCTGTGTGTGTATAGCTCCACCTTCTTCAATAAACAGGATATTTCAGTTAAAATAAGAATTTTCCTTTTAATTATTTTTATAACACTGAAATGCAGGACGAATCACTAGGACTAAATTAAATTAGAGTATGATTTACCTTTGCCCTAAGTCAGTTTTTCAATTAACTGCATTTTCAGAAGCGAGGGTGTGAAATGGGCAAGCTTATGTTATGTTACCCTGGTACAATCAACTCAGAAAGCAATTTTGCTTTTTAGAACAATAGGGTTTGGATGGTCATGCCTATAATGTAGTAATTCCACTTCTGAGAGTTTACATTAAGGAAATATCCTTTAGTACATAGAAAGCTTTATTTAGAAATAAAAATGCATTTGTGCTTGAAAAAGATGAAACAACCTAAATTTCCAACCATAGAGAAATGATTAAGTAAATGTGGCCCTATCTTCTTGATGAATTATCATTTTCTTAAAGAGTCTATAACAACATAGGAAAATAAAGTACTTGAAAAATAGATAGGAAGGCATCATATCTTTTAGATTAAATTATAACCACAATTGTTAAAAATAATTATAGAGGAAATGGTTGAAAGGAAAAACAATCAAATGTTAACAACAGCTGCCTGGCTGGTGTGGCTCAGTGGTTGAGTGTCGACCCATGAACTAGGATAGCGGTTGCCAACCTTTCGGACCTCACGGACCTGCTGAACTAGGAGATCATGGTTCAGTTTCTACTCAGGGCACATGCTGGGGTTGTGGGCTCGATCCCCAGTAGAGGGCGTGCGGGAGGCAACCAATCTGTGATTCTCTTTCATCATTGATGTTTCTTTCTCTCCCTCTTCCTAAAATCAATGAAACATATTTTAAAAAAAAAACATGTTAATTACAGTGGTCTTGAGATAGTAAGATTATGGACGACTGACTATATTTTGTTCATTTTCAAATTTTCTGTAAACATGTATTTTTAAAATTTATTTTTAAGTGAAATTTAAAAGCCAGAGGAGATGAAAGAGGAGGAAGTAAAGGAATGAGAGAAGAATGGCTTTCTGGTTGTGAAGGTTCTCTGGGCCAGTGGGAACAGCTGAGGGCGGAGCTGATGTCTCCGGTTTAGTAAGTGAAGCAAGAACTGGAAGGTAAAACTCTGCCCTCGCTTCACCCAGCAGAGGGCTGCCGCCTGCCACCCGATGGTTTCACATGTGAGGTGACCCTGCATCCCAAGTTCTGCGTTAAGTCTCCTTTTCACCACTGATGACCCCAGAGCTTGCATTTCCAAGAAAGTCTTGAAACTAACCTTGATTTATACAACATGTTACAGCCCAAGGCAGAACAGACATTCAAAGAGGTCAGAGGATCCAAACAAAGAGAACATCCATAAGTTGTCCCCCCATAGTTACCTAGGAGTTACAGGGTAATGCTGGGCCATGAGCAATGGGCTTTACTACTATTACCTATA